GCCACAAAGGCCATTCTCCGAGCTCACGGAAAAATCTCCGAAGCAGCGCTCTGCGCCGAAATCCACGCCGAGCAGCAAGACATGGACCTGCAAGAAGAACGACACAGAAAGAAGACATCAGCACCGGAATTCGCGTTCCACACTCAGCGACGCTACAACAACAACAACAACCGGCAGCAACAACCGAAGCCAGTACCTCCGTTCTGCCACATCTGCAAAACTTCAGGACACCCACGTACGCACAGGACGAATCTTCAACAGTCAACAACTCCACAGCGGCAACTTCGACCTTCAAGCAGCCAAATCGCCTCAACGCAAGCAAAACCCACGACTCAGATTCAAGCATCAACGACCTCAACAGGACAACCTGCACAAGGAGCAAGAAACATCGTCAGCTGCATGGCAAAGCTGAGTGACTCCTGCATCACCGAGTCACCACCACACTACTCACCGGAAGAACAACTCGACGAAACCACACCCCGCCGCGAGTCACTTTAGCCGAACCCGACATACGCCGCCATCGCCCAAAGCGAACCATCCGGAAGGGACACATGGTTCTTGGACAGTTGCTGCCGACAGCACATGTGCTCCTCGGGTCGCTTCGTTCAACGAGAACACCAACTTCAACGCGAAGTTGTCATTACAAACGCCAACAATCAGAACCTGCGAACACGACGACAAGGCGTAGTTCAACTTCAGTCAAGGGAAACAAACGTTATACTGCAGATGTCAAAAGTACTAATCGCGGAGGGACTCGGCTATAACTTACTGAGCGTCAGTCAGCTAATGGCGAAGGGGATTCACCTCGAAGCAGACAGCACCACCCAAGAATTCAAGCTGTATAACGGGAGAGGAGGTCTCTACATCGGCAATGCGGTCCTCAAGAAGAACGTCTTCGTTCTTGATTTCGTTCCTAACCTTGGCACCGCTGACAGCGACGCCATCGTTAACTTCACCAACTGGACACACCCTCCAGACCTTGATCCAGACTTCAGTCCAGAAGGCTTCTGGTATTCACACACCATCCCCGAAGCAGAAAGAACAAGGGCGTTAGCAACAATTCAGACAACATCGGCAGCAGCAGAGACAACATCGGCAGTAGCCGAACCATCAACGGCAGCAACAGGAACGTCAACACCAATTGCTGGTCCTTCAACGACACCGCTCCTCATCAACGACACACCACCGACACCAGCGCAACAACTATACCCAGCACCACGAGCATGCGCAAACTGTTACGTGGCATGCGGCTACCCAACCACCCGTGGCCTGCAGCAATGGACCACGCCGTCATGCTGCACAACTTGCTGTCGTCATCATCGCTTCCGAACAACGCATCATCGCATCTGCTCTGGACAGGGAAACAGGGCAGCACAAAAATGTTACGAATATTCGGATGCATGGTACAGTACCGACCCCCAGCAGCACGAGCGGGCCGATTTTCTCAACGAGCACAGTGGGGACTACAGCTGGGAATCGAAAAGAACTACAACGCGTGGAAAATCTTCGACGTCCACTCCAAGGAAACACTAGCAGCACGTGACGTAATTTTCTACGAACGACTCACGCTCCAGACATACCTTGCCAACCTGCAAGAAGACGAAGATCCCAGAGGTGGTTTTCGTGGTGACCGAGCCTTCGCCTCAGCAGCGGATGAAGCTGACTGGGACGAGCAGAATGTGGACAACACATTAGAAGAAGCCGGAATTCTTCTGTTCTGCTTCGTCGACGTTCCTATGGACGAAAACAACCCTCGCGAAAGTGCCAATGCCGAAACCTTCTACCATTTTGCCGACAGCGGTTACGTAACACCTGCGTCAGTCAACACCAACGAAGCAGAACGAGTAGGACCGAACTTCATACCTGATCCAGAAGCGGGAGATGAAGCAGCTTATCCCGAGGATGTGAATCTTCCCCGCTACTCACAGAGTGGACTGCAGATTCTCGGACTCGTCACCGCAGTCCACGGCACAGCCACTCCTAAAGAGCCTGCGACGGTTCAGCAGGCTCTGGGGGGGGAACATAAGGAAAAATTGCGCGAAGCCATAGACAAGGAGCTGAAGGCACTGGAGGAACGCAACACGTGGAAAGTGGTTCCTATCGGCGTGGCATGGAACAAGACAGTGCTCACCGGGAAGTGGGTATTCCGTGTGAAGACAAAGGCCGACGGCACCATTGACAAATTCAAAGCTCGCTGGGTTATACGCGGCTTCGACCAAGAACACGGACGAGACTTCACCGAAACATTCGCTCCGGTCAGCTGACACACCTCGCTACGCATCCTTCTCGCGATCGCCGCCATGAAGAAGAAGAAGATGCGGCAAATCGATGTCGCTTACGCATTCCTCTACGCACCTGTTGACGCAGAAATCTTCGTCGAGCTACCACACGGCTCCAGCACGGACTCGAACCACGTCTGTCAACTACTCAAGTCGCTCTACGGCATCAAGCAAGCTCCGCGACTATGGCAACAATACCTACACGCTCGCCTCATTCGCATCGGCTTCAAGCAATTGCCGCACGACCAGGGCATGTACCGGCTCACGAAGGGTACCGACTACATCCTGCTAATCGTCTATGTAGACAATCTGTTCTACATCGGCTCAACTGACGGCATTACAACCTGGTTCGAAGGGGAGCTACAGCAAGACCTCACACGCACGGTCTCATCTACCATCACACAGTACCTCGGCCTCAACATCCGATAAGAGGAAGACGCTATCTACCTCAGCGCCGCAAAATACGCCGACACCATCGCCAAGCGTTTCGCACTCACACCGACTGTCATCTCCACACCGTACCGCTACACGACAGCAAACAACAAGGAAGGTTCCGCTCTACTCAAGCCCGCCGGCATATGCGACTACCAGAGAAAGCTGGGCTGCCTTCTCTTCGCAGCTGTCACCTGCCGCCCAGATCTATCCTACTCTGCAAGCCAGCTCGCCACCCACCTCAAGAAGCCTGAAGCGGAACATCTGGCGGAGCTCGACCGCGCTCTTCACTACCTTGTCAGCACCCCGACGGTCGGCCTGACTTACCAGAAGAACGCAACTACAACGCCTAAGCTAATCGGTTACGTCGACGCAGATCACGCGTGCGACTCCGACAAAAGACGATCGCGCACCGGCTACATCTACTGCTTCGAGCCTATCGGACCTATCTCCTGGCAATCGAGCAAGTAGGAATTAATTGCTCTCTCGTCAGCTGAAGCAGAATATATTGCACTCTGCTAAGCCACCAAGGAAGGACTCTATCTTCGGGAGTTGCTGGAAGAAGCGAAGTTAGCCGAGTTACCCAACTTTACCCTGTTCTGCGACAACCAGTCGGCAATTCGCATCGCCAACAAGAACGGCTTCGCGAACAGGACGAAACACATCGCCCTGCGATACTTCTTCGTGAAGGACGAGATCGAGAAGGGAAGGCTCGAGCTGTCATACTGCCCCACGTCCGAGATGGCAGCTGACTACCTGACCAAGAAGCTCGGAAAGCAGAAGTTCGAATACTGCATGCTGCTGACTGGACAGAGCCACGTCAGCGACACTCCAGAACCGAAGGGGAGTGTTGGAAACAATCGGTCCTAAGCGCCTCTGTCGTGTCGAAACACTAAGACACAAGCGAAGCAAAGCATATCGAGGCACCAGCGAGTCAACCCTCGGAGGTTGAAGTAACCGCTGGAGGTTACGCGAAAGTCAAAGGTCAGCGACCTTTGATTTGACAAATACAGCGCGACAGCAAGGACACACAACTGACTCGTTACAGAGCAGTTGCCCGATTCGTCACTATATCGAACCGCAACAGCATTAAGTAAAACAGTTATAGCTGTATCCTTTCATATTTCTTGTACTCTTATATAATCCTGTATCTCCTTGCTTTAATCAACTTACTTTGCCCTGACATTCTAGTGCAAGGTGGTTCACAACTCTTTATTAACGCTTCCGCTACTACACCAACTCTACCCAGAGTTCACCCCTGCAAAGATCCTAAGGGCTTTTTCAGCCCAACAATTTTCACCACATATCAAGGTTTTTGCCTATGTTCCCGGTGGTTCCCACGTGTTTTATCAATGTTGGTTCCCAAGTAGGAAGGTTGGTTTGGTTGGGGCGAGCAGGTTTATTGGCCAAGGTTCTGGGTCAAGGGTCACACTCAATCTGGGCTTTAGGAAGGTTGAACCAACTTGGGCTTTCTTGGCCCGCGGGTTTTAATAGGAACAGAGCAAAACAGAATATGGAATGAGCATTTTTTGTGTACGCTGGAATGTCACCGATGCATAACGAGGTAGCCAGCAGTACCCCTTACCGATCCATGCAATAGGCGACAGCGACGACTCACCAGCACCACCTGCGACACCTCCTTGCAACTTCGTCGCTGTGACGACGAAAAAAATGTTCGTTTCGCGCGACCCACGAATCTCAGGCCTGAAGTGTTAGCGGTTTGCCGTTGGGAAACAAATTTCGCACCCTAGCCAGCCAAGTCAGCTGACCTGACCGAACCAGTCAAAAGCCCCTATCGCGTGCTGTCAACGCCCTGACGAAAAAATATCAGCCGTCACTGTCGACCGCCACCGCCACTACTCCCCACCACCAAACTCCTCCCTCGTCCTCGCAAATCCCTTTTCGCAAAATTCGTCGAGCGTGGAAATCTGCGGCTCGAATTGGGAAATCTCGAGTCAAACAGAATTCGCCCCTTTCCCCACCACCACCACCGACCCCCTTGTTCCTACTCACCCTCGTCATCCTCCTAACTTTCACCTTCACATTCAACTCGACCAAGCCATTCAACCCAGGTACTTCAGAGTCTCCAGCATCAGCTTTACTTTGTTGTCTAATTTGTTCCGCCTCTAGTCCGCGGTCTTGCCATAATAATAAGCCTACTTCCTGAATCTAACAAGAAAGCCAGCAAGTCCCTGCGGCACGCGTTTCAAGCGACGCAGATAAAGCATCGGCTACGCAGATAAAGCATTCGAGCGTAGATTCCTAGTAAACCAAGACGCTTTGGGTGCCATGGGGGGCTGCGTGTCGATTGAGGAAGACCCTAGAGGCCGAGTTGGGCCCGCACCTGGCCGATCGTCGTCCCGCGCAACCCACTCAAACCGCGTTGCACCGCAAAGCCCCTCTACAGCAAGCAAGCGCTCGGCGCGCAAGTCCTCCCCCATGCGATCCCCCTCTTCCGCTTCGGCCTCCGCTTCCGCGTATCGTTCCGGCGGACTCCTCCCAAAATCCAACGAGAGCAACATCAGTGCCGCCAGTGGCGGAAGCGGAAGCGGCCGCCGATCCTGCCCGCAAACACCGCGCGGGAGTTCCGCCAGCGGCTTCCGGACTCCCCCTGGCAGCGGCGGGCTGGGTTCCGGCCGACGCGGCGGCGCACTTGCGGATCGAACGGCTCTGGCGAACAGCGGCGTCGCCACGTCATCGTTGCGCGAATTCTCGTACCAGGAGCTATGGATAGCGACGCGGAAATTCGAGAAGGAGGGGAAGCTGGGGGAGGGCGGATTCGGGAGCGTTTTCCGGGGAACGATCGAAGAGGATGTTTGCGCTTCAGGCGCGGGGATGGGCGCGGGGAGCGGAGAGGGCGGAAAGCGGAAGTTGCAGGTTGCGGTGAAGGTGTTGAATCAGGGGGGTCAGCAGGGGGAGACGGAATGGAAGACGGAGGTTCGGTACCTGAGCGAGCTTCGGCACCCGAACCTGGTGCGGCTGGTCGGGTACTGCTCGGACGGGCATCACCGGCTGTTGGCGTACGAGTATCTTCCGTACGGCAGCCTCGAGCGATTCCTTTTCACCCGTGAGTTCCTGGTCGCTACAAATGCGATAAATACCAAGTACACGGCGCCAAGAACGATTTTCCGGCCGTGTGGTCGTCTCTGTTGTCGTCGTCGCACTCCAAGCTTCCGCTCCTCGCTTTCTCCTCGTTTTCTCATCCTTCTTGCTCTGTCCCTTTCCCCTCTGCCTGACCATGTGCCATCCTGCCCCTGTCGTGGGCTGTGCGCATGAAGGCGGCGCTGCCTCTATTCGCGTCCCCCCTCGCCTCTTTCATGTTCCCTTGTTGCTCTTCCCTCACCCGCCTCTCAAATCCGCCCCTGCCATGCGCCATCCAGCCTCTGCCATGGGCGGTGCGCATGAAGGGAGCGCTGCACGCTGCCGCTGTTCCCGTATCCCTGCCCCCCCTCCTTGTCATCTCCGTTCCTGTTCCCCCCTTGCTTCCCCCCTTTCCCCTGCCCTTCCCCCCTGCCAAGCGTCATCCAGCCCCTGCCATGGGCGGTGCGCATGAATGTGGCGCTGGCGCTGCACGCGGCCGCTGTTCCCGTAACCACCCCCCTCCACCCCCTCCCCTTCTTCTTCTCATTTCCATTCCCGTTCCCCCCTTGCTCCCCTCCTCCCCTTTCCCCCTGCCAGGCGCCATCCAGCCCCTACCATGGGCGGTGCGCATGAAGGTGGCGCTGCACGCGGACGCTCGTCCCCTCGCCTTCATTCATGTTCCCGTGTCGCCTCCACCTCTCCCCCTGTTCCGCCACTTCCCCCCCTCCCCCCTGCCAGGCGCCATCCAGCCCCTACCATGGGCGGTGCGCATGAAGGTGGCGCTGCAGGCGGCGCAGGGCTTGGCGTATCTGCACGAGGAGGCGGACCGGCAGATCATCTACCGCGACTTTAAGGCGTCCAACATTCTGCTGGACGAGGTGCGCGCGTGTAGCGGGTCGTGTTTGTAACGAGTACGGGGGGGATTAGTGTGTCTAGAGGAGTATCCACTCTGAGGAATTGGCCCGGCAGGTCATCCACCCACAACGCATAACTCTTGATTGCTTTTCAAGACTCATTGCATTCCACGCCCATTCTCCCCCAACCGTATGCTCAAATCCTTGTTACACGCCTCCCCCCTTCTCAGGACTTCAATGCAAAGCTCTCTGATTTCGGGCTGGCAAAGGACGGCCCCGAGGGCAACCAGACGCACGTGTCAACGCGGGTCATGGGCACCTACGGCTACGCCGCCCCCGAGTATATGATGACCGGCCACCTCACCGCCAAGTCAGACGTCTACAGCTTTGGAGTCGTGCTGCTCGAAATGATTAGCGGGCGGCGGGCCATGGAGCCGGAGTTCCCGAGGCGGCAGCAGAATATCGTCGAGTGGGCGCGGCCGTTTCTGGTCGATCCAGCGAAGATGCTGCTATTGGTGGATCCGAGGGTGGGCGGCGAGTATTCGGTGAAAGGCGCTCAACGGGCGGCGGTTTTGGCACGCAAGTGTCTGAACAAGGACCCGCACGCGCGGCCGCTAATGTCGGAAGCGGTTCGGGTGCTTTCTTCGATTCAGAACTTGACGGATCTTGCGAGTAAGCTGGAGCAGGCTCAGCGGCTACACGGTGCTTAGTTAAGCGTTTCTTGGTGTGGGAACCAGACATTTTTGTGGAATGCGGAGTGAGGAAAATAGGGCTGGATTGAGAAATTGTGTTGGCTTTAGTTAGGAGGGTGGTATGGTTGGTGGACCAAGTATGAATCTCACTGCTTGCATCCTGCGGGCAAAGAAGTACTAGCGTGTGCTCGTATGAGCGAGCATGTAGAAATGTATAGAAGCTTTGCTCGTTGCAAAGCACTGCAGGTAAAATATGTTGGTATATTGCATAGTTGGCCCACTCCGGGTGAATATGTTGGTTTATCTGTGACCTTTTTGGTGCAAATGGGTTGACTCAACATTGTGCAGCGTGCCTCTGGGTTGGTGCCTGCATTCCTCGCCTCAGAGCGTATCCCTATCTTCGTATCAAGAGAACCCCATATCAACCTCCTACTGAAAATTCCCCTAAACCCAAAACCTCTCGCTAGTATTACCAGGCAGAAAGTACAATCTTGATACGAGGTTCTCTTGATACGAGGATAGGAATACGCTCTCAGTCAGGTAGCTCCTGCATATCTGCATTCCTGCTGACACGGCATGCCGCCGGTGTGCTGGTATCCCAAGAAGTACATTACATCTTACATCTCCTATGATCTAGTTAAAACCGTGGCCCAACTATCAGCTTCAACTTCGAAGTATTATCGCTTGGAACTTGGTTGTCCCAGGCAGTTCTGTGGCGAGAAGTTTGTCTTTCCTGATATTTCATTTTTTTTCATCCAATAAGGGTCTCGTTACGCACACTCCATGTTTGTCATGCTACTGTTCCTAAGAAGTTGCCTTTAACCGAGCTCCTTGCACGATACTGCGCATATGTCTGTCTGCGCACATGTCCGTATGTATGTCTTCATTTCGTTGTGCTCGCCCGAAGCTGATGTTGCGACCAGAAGGTATATCGTGCCTAGGATCACATCATGAAGGTTCACAGAATCAGAGTGTCGCAACGGAAGTTAGTGACCTCATATCAGAGTGAATTTAAAATGACAGAGATAAAAAAGAATGCAAAACATTTAGCATAAGTACCGTAAGAGTATACGGGAATACGAAATGTCATAGCTAGCCATCTAGTCTAAGGGGCGCACCCCCATATCCAAGGGCAAACCCAACCGTGCGGCGCGTATAGTTACGACGGTCCAGACGCTTTCAACCGTTCGTGTCACTTTGACCCTTCGTATCCGTACCCTCTTCTATGTTCCCCGTTCTTGCTACTGGCAGGAATGCACAGCAACGTTTCTTTATTTACTACTCTGGTAATCTCGTAGCCTGACAAAGACATTAGAACTCCCATACAATATTTTCAGACTCACCTCCTTGTTTATGAGACATGGTGTTTGTTGTGTGCTAACCGCACACCAGTTCACAACAACAATTAAACAATAACAAATGGCGCACTGTTGAGGAGTTGGCTGGAAGTAAAAGATCCTCATAAATCTGCGAGTTGTTTGTTTATTTCCAACGCCGGACCTGTGTTCAGGACAACCGATACCTTTCATGACATGCTTTACAGCCCAGTTTGTACTTGGAAGGCAGGAAAAGACCCCGCCAAGTTCAAGACAACTTGCCGGAAACCCCTTTCATTTGGGTTTCCCGAGTTTAAATCTCCACAGTGCTTCGGGAGGAACCAGGGCGAGCTGACGAACAGAAGAAGGAACTGCCAGTTCTGTGGTTCACGTGACGAGATTCACCGAGGGCCGCTCTCAGCCACTTAGACAGCCCCGAAAGGATGGCATCCTGAAGAACATTTGCAAGGGAAACTGAGCAACCAATCGGAGGAGCAAGATGGCTTGTGTGGTGTTCATCTCCCTGCGCTTCGAAAGCGCAGAAAACGATTTTCCACCACATTTTTCCATGCGAAGATAAGACGGGCACCGACGCTTTCTAGTTTCTCGTGTTACAGTTGCGCAGCAATTGCTTTAATCACGTGACGGATCCGAAAGGCTCGATTGTCCCTCTTTTTGAGAACAAACAAGCGACGGTTTGGCTTGAGCGAAGAATGAAAAGAGATTTTGGGGATGTTTCTGGAAGCTGAGACATTAGCTTCATTCCCTTCTGAACCAGAGTCTTGTGATAAGGTCGGAGCAATTCTGACCGAAAATGTTATGACCAGATCTTCCATACCCAATGCAGATTCGGTATCCGAATGACGCTGGCATCTTCACGTGGTCACAAGCGATCAGGCAGGACTCAGGTCAGGTCACGAGGATGACGAAAGCTTCAGACACCACCATTTGGGGCTGCCAACAGACACGACAGCACATGCTGGCCTGAAACCCTTTCTGTGCACAGATTCGTGTACAGTTGGTGTAACATCGAATAAGGCAGTGCAATTGGTCTCCCTCACACAGTAGAATTCTACATCCAAGCCGTTGATCCGTATGTTTGCGTCCACCCTGGCACTCTAGTTACGGCATTCATTCGCAGCTGACCAGGCACTGATGTCATTTCCCACCAGCGCTGGACACTCGAATGAAACCCTAGCTCCATCCAGCGCCTCGGAACTTTCTTTCGTACTTTTGTGCCATATCTTCCCGTTCAGCCCGCGATAAAGCGATATTTTGCTGAACGCCGAATGGATGGCTGAATACTCTGCCGCGCTGGATTGCACTTTTTTGCCCGCCAAACCCGCGTGCTCATCTGTGGTTGGATATTTTTTCCTCTTCTCCTCCTTCCCCCGATTCCATCGAGATTGCATGAACAATGCCCCAGTCCGCCCGCAACGCCTTGTCCAGATTCCCCTTTCGCGTTCCGCTTCTCCTCAGCAACGCCTTGCTCACACTCCCCCCATCCTTTCCCCTCCCCTCCTCCCCAGCTTTACAACAAACCCCCCCCCCCCCCCCCCCCCCCCCACCCCCCCTTCCGCCCCAACCAGCTCACCTTTTCACTTTCTTTCGCTTGCTTGCATGCTTGCTGCTTTCTTCAGGATAAGGCTGACAGTCTTTCTCTGCCATTCGTTTCTTTGATTCACCAACACAGCAAACAGCTAGGAAGTCCTCAGGTCACTTGCCAAGCAAAACTGGATCTACATTGATTTCTTTCACGCCTTGTTACTCGCGGGGCTCATGACTGGTTTCGTTGCTAGAATATGCCCGAGATCCGTTGGTACGAAAAGTACATAGAATAACTGTTGACATAGATTTTCGCCACCTAGTGTGAGATTAGAACGCGTGAGCAGATGGGTCGTCAGAATAGTAATGGCGGCCGTAGCCGGAAGGATCAACCCGAGGCTGTCGCGCTGTTCCCTCCGATACATGTTAGCCACGCGACAGCGGCGTCGGGTCCTAAGGCACCTCCGCGGAACAAGATGGCACTCTACGAGCAGGTTTCCGTTCCATCGAAGCGATTCCGGCCGTCGCCTCACCCTCTCGGAGGACCAGCTATGAACGCACCCTCAACGTTTCATCCCATGCACAGCGGGGTACGTGGTCCGTGGGAACGATGGTCGCTGCAGGCGACGGTCGGTTCCAGCGGCGTACGCCGACCGTGCTTTTTAAAAAGTCTTCGACTTGTCCAATCAAGGCTCAAGGTGCTCCGTAGTTAGCTATGTACGAAGTTCCGTCGGAGAAATGACCGATGTATATTTTGAATGAGTCGCCTGCGAGTCTAGCTTGCTTGTATGATGACATAGGAGTTTCTCAGGAGCTTAACTGGGTTCGCTTTATTCCTCATCCTTCCCATGCTCCTCCTTGATCTCAAAATTTGCTCAATTTCCCTCTCCCTTCCTCACTACCCCCTGTCGTGGCCTTCGTATCCACAGTCGACGGTCCCGTTGATGCCTCCCAACTACGAGAGTAAATTCTCGTACGCTCCGTACGCCGCCCAGCAACAAGCGCAGCAGCAGCACCATCCCACCAACAGCTTCAAAACCCCTCCGCAGGCCGGCAGCATGCTTCAATCCCACTCCGGAATCGCCAGCAGCACGGGAAGCTTCTCCGAAGCCCCCGCCTTCCAAAGCGCCGGCCAGGCTGCCTTGGCCGCCTGCGCCGCGCACAGCGCTGGCGGCGGCGCGGGAACTGCTGCCGCCCGGCACGGAGGCGGAGGAGCAGGCGGCGCGGGGAGCATCGTCCAAGGAAGAAGCGCGGGTGTTGGCGCGGGAGCAGGAACGGGAGCGGGAGCAGTGAGCAGCAATAGTAACAGCCACGGACAGTCGACTCGAAGCGACGCGGATCAATGGGCGTTCTGGGCTTGGCAGCAGCGCCACATGCCGTGGGGGAACGGCGCGTCCCCCAGCTCCCCCTCTCCGCCAGTCATGCCGCAAGCCTCCATGTCCCCCGCGAGCGCCGCCGCCGCCGCAGCCGCCGCGATGGCCGCGTTTGCCGGCGCCAGCAATAGCAAGGACGGCAGCACGGCGGCGATGTACCCGCTGCAGGCGCTCACTGCCGCGTCGGGTTTGGGCGGCAGTCGCGGCGACCCGGGTGCGGCGGCGGCTGCTGCAGCGGCCATGGCGGCGGCCGGCGCGGCGTTTTTGAATTACGGAAGCGCGTCGCAAGTCGCGGGCATGGGCACGGGTACGGGCTCGGGCACAGGCGCAGGCGCTAGTGGCGCAGTTCCGCCGCTCACCCCCGGAACGTGGAATGGCGCATCGGCGGAAGGAGGCTTGGCGGGTCTCATGTCCAATTTCAGTTGGCCTGGATCGGGTAACCCGAATGCGTTACTTATGATGAGTCAAGCGCATATGTTCGGTGGAATGGGCGGATTCGGCGGAAGCTCAGGCGCGGGGTCTCCGCCCGACCGCGGGTGTATTCACGGGGAAGGGGAGGCGTCGGGGCAGCAGCAGCAAGGGCGGAGCCCGTCCGCGGCGGCTGCGCGTTCCGCCGCCAGCGAGAGGCTCGGGCGCAGGCGCGGGGAGGAGCGGAGCAGCCGTGGAGGACCCGCGCGGAGCGGAGTGGACGACGCGCGGAAAGGGACCTTGCGGAAAAGCGCCAGCACGAAGTCCGCAGGTTCCCGGGGTCCAGCGGCAACTGCACCTGCTGGCGTTATCGGCGGAGGCGGAGGCGGGGGGGGAGCGGTTGGCGCGATGTCAACGACGAGTGGGCGGAGCATGAAGAGCACGATGAAAAGCGGGGCGCGTGCTGCGGCGAAGGGCGGAAAGGGGAAGAAGCGCAAGGAGATGGCTGCTGTTGACGGTGCGGAAGCTCTGGCACAAGCGCAACAGGAGCAAGCGCAAGAGCGCGCGGAAGGATCAGCGGGAGCAGCCGCGGAAGCAGCGGGAGGAGCGGGAGTGGGAGCGGGAGCAGCAGAGGAGGAGCTGTTTCGGGGAATTGAGGTTCTTCGCGCTGCCGCCGTAGCTGCGCGGGAGGAGGAGAGGCGCGCGCGCGCCGCAGCCGAGCATCCGGGGACTGGACTTGGCTGCGCGGCGGATGCGGCGGCGGAGGAGACTGCAGCGCAGGCGGAAGAGGATGTTGACGACGCGCGGATGGTCGCTGCGCGGGCGGACGCGGATGAGCGAACGGGCGCGGAAGAAGGAACGGAAATGGCGGAAAGGGGTGGTCTGGCGGATCAGAAGGGAGAGAGCTTCGGGGAGCAGCGCGAGGCGCGGGCTCTAGGGCGCTTCCGCGCGGCTGCTGCCGCGGCTGCCGCTGCCGCCGCCGCAGGTGTTGCTGCTGGGTGTGCAAGCAGTTACCATGGCGGGGTGGTGGCTAGCGAAGGAGGCTTGCTCCTCCCTGCTGCCGCCCCTACTCGTCGTGCTCCTGCTGTATCCGCCCCTGCCTCGTCTCCTGCTGCTGCTGCTGCTCCCGCAGGCGCGGAGGCGGCGGGAGGCATGCTGGCGATGGTGCTGGGGATGGCGGGAGGCGTGGAGGACGAGGAGGAGGAGCGGTTCCGGCGGGAGAGCAGGAAGCGGAGCAGGCGCGCGGAGGAGGGGCGGGGTCTGGGCGCGGGGGAAGCGGACGGGGAGGTCGCGGGGGAGAGCAAGAGGGGGAAGTGGGAGGGAGGGGAGGGAAGGGGGGAGATGTGTGTGGGTGACTTGATTGGTGCGGTGGGACAGAAGGAGTTTTGGCGGGTGCGGAAGGGCATTGTGAGGCAGCAGCACATATTCTCCACTCAACTGTTTGAGCTGCACCGGCTGAACAGGGTGAGTAATATTCACATGCGTCTTGCTTCTTACTCAACTGTGTCTGTTTTTTCTTTCTTTCTTTCTGTTTCCTGCCTCTCCTTTTGTGCTTATGCGCCACTCCCTTTTCCTCTTTGCCCCCCCCCCTTCTCTGAACGTTCACAGGTGCAGCAGGGGCTGATGCACGAACCACCGAACGCCAAGAAGGCTCAAGTGTTGGAAGATCAGGAGCACGAGCAGCAACAGGAGGAGCAGCAGCAGCAGGGGCAGTTAGGCCAGGACCAGGCTTCGGCACCTGCTGCACCTTCTGCTGATGCTGCTGATGTCTCCGGCCCTTCTGCTGCTCCTACTGCTGTCGTTGGTGGTGCTTCCGCTGCTGCCGCTGCAGCTGCTGCAGCTGTGAGCATAGAGGAGCCTATCGACCAAGTACCGCGCCCCAGCCGGCGTGCTGGCAGCAGCAGCAGGGCGCAAGAAACCGCCGCTGCTACGGAAACCAGTGTTCCTGATGTGCTTGAGAAGTCAGCTTCAACTGACGCAAATGCAGCAGCGACAACACCATTGTTAGCAGCAGCAGCAGCAGGCGCAGCAGCTGCCGCCGCTGCCGCCGCCGCCGCCGCCGCAGCAGCAGCAGGTGCAGCAGCAGCAGGTGCAGGAAGTGGTATCCCCAGCACGAGTGGCATGAAGCCTCCTCCCGCCCGTTCTCCCCACAACCGTCCACGGGTATTCTCAGCTCCTCGCCTCGCCATGATTCCTGACTTCCCCGCTTTCACCGACGCACCGGCTGCTACTGAAGGCTCCTCCGGAGCAGCTATGTCAGCAGCAGCCATGCCAGAAGCACCATTCTCTTCTGCGTTGGATTTGTCAGGTAAAGCAGGGGCGAGTGGAGTCGCAGCGGCGGCAGCACCTGCTGCAGCAGCAGCGTCGGCAAGCAAGGGTGGTGCTGCAGGATGGTCGTTCCCTCTCTATGCTCGCTTTGCCAAGAATGCTGACCCGGCTGCTGCTGCCGCTGCTGCTGCAGCCGCCATTGCTGCCGACGCTGCTGGTGCCAAACCTGTCGCCGCGCCTGCTGCAGCTTCGGACAACGCCACTGCTGCCCGAGCAACGGCCGTCACCCCAGCCTCGTTCGGGTTCATGACAGGCTCGGAATCTGCCGGACCTGAAGGCTCGGATGTGTTTGGATTGAGCTGGGGTACCGTGCCTGAGTCAGAAGCTGGGGAAGGGGAAGGGAGCAGAGGAGAAGGGGAGAGGAAGAAGAAAGAGGGGAATTCATCAAAGTATGCTGCTATGCTCAGTGCCATGGGCCTGCCAGCTGATTTTACCATGCCTGCCAATCTTGGCATCCCTGCCAATTTTGGCATGCCTGCTAATTTCGGTATGCCTGGACAAGCAGGCATGGCTGAGGCCATGGGCATGAGCTTTGGTATGGGAACGAACATGAACATGGGGATGGGGATGGGCTTGGGGACGGGTATGGGCATGGATATGGGTGCTGCTGCCGGGGCAGGTGGGTCTGCATCTGCTGCTGCTGCCGCTGCTGCTGGTGTTGGTGGTGGTGCAGGTGTGGGTGCATCTGGGGCAGGCCCATCTGGTGCAGGTGCATCTATGATGATGGACATGACAGCTCTGCACATGTACATTGCACAGCAGCACCGCATGCAGCAGCAGCTGCGCCAGCAGCTTTTTCAGCAGCAGCAGCAACAGCAGCTCCTGCTTCAGAGCCTAGGGGGCCTTTTCCCGACCTTCCCTCCGGCTGCTGCTGCCATCGCAGCTGCTGCTCCTACCACCGCCGCTCCTGCTGTCGCCGCTGCGTCGCCTGCTGCTGCTACTGCTGGTGTAGCAGATGCTTCTGTAGAGGAGCCTGGTTCTCAGGCGAGGGAGAGAGGAGGAGGAGCTGCTGGAAGTGCAGCAGCATTTGCAGCATGGCGCTCGGCTGTTGCAGCATCTGCGAGAGGAATGGTTGAGGACAAGGCACAGGGCAACTCGCAGGACAGGACGCAGCAAAGAGTTGAAAACGATGATGGATCAAGGCATAAAGATTTGGAGCTGAGCCTTTTCCCTTCTTTTGCGAACACGCGGAACTAGTTCATGGTGTTTATGGTAGATCTTACCAGTAAGCATATTAGGAAATTGTTGTGTGCATAGTTTCTGTAAGACATGAGATTCTGGTGTAACTAAGAAGCTGCTTGAAAAGAGATGGATGTTCCCGCATTTTTTTCCGCAACATGAGTGGTTCACGTTTTCCCGAGTCACGTGATGCTGAAAAGTCAGGCAGGGAACTGCACACGCGCAAGAATGCCTCTCGTGAACTGTAGAAGCACTGTCACATTTTTCTGTATTGGGTAAATTGCCCTACTCTTGGGGCTAGGTTAGCAGCTGACACCTTCATTATCCGCGTTCTAAAGTTCGGGAGGGAGGACGCAAAGCCGAGCTTTTGAGCAGATAGAGGGTCAGAAAACCTCGGCCGGAGTGGTTTCGGGTGCAAAATCTCGTCACAACAGCTCAGCAATTCTCAGGTACACCGCCGGTTTATTTCGGGGTACACGTAGTTCTGTGCAGAGCACATCAATGACCGAAAGAATCTAAAACCGTGTCGGTAGTAGCAGGACAATCATTTTCCGCGACCTGTCACGTGATGATAAATGAACTGTTTTTCCCTCGTTCAAGAAAATATCTGCTTAACACCACGACCGATGACGTGGCGGAAGTATTTCTTCACTGAATATGATCCGCACTCCGCCATCGCTATGCATCTCGCGTCATCACCACCGTCGATGGCCAGCGCCGCGGACACGCAGACAGTTGAGATGAGCTGAACCGTTGAGGCTCCCATGGTCGCGGAACGCTGTGAAGTGCATTGTCAGATGAACGGCTACGGTGCAGTTTTGGTCTGGGTGAGCGAGAAGCCATTGCCCTGCCATTCCCAGTTACGGCCCCCACATCACACGAGTCGCAATGGGCCATCCAATCAGAGCTGGGGTCATTGCAGCCCTCGAGACCTTAGCGGATTTGACGGTCCTAGTCGAGCCACTTCTTCCCGAACCTAGAGCACGTTCATTCTAAGCAGTAAGAAATCGCCATGTGGGCATCTTTGCAGGCCATTGAACGGTAAGGGCCCTTTAGAAGGAATTGTTGTTGTCAGTGCTGTCCTTCATTCTGCTCCTCGTTCTGTGCTGCCATCTAGTGCTGTTTTGGCGACGAGCTGGTGTGGACGAACCCAAAGGACGCAGTTGGTTGGCTGACGAGGCTTGTGGCGAAAGGTCTCCCAGTTTGGTGACTTTCTATCCAGTGCAGATCCCGAGCCTTCGAAACAAATCATTAACTGGGGAAAGTTTTGAGACCCAGGGATCCTGCCCGAAACCCAAACGCTTTCGTGTAGTCCACTTCCGACGGTCAGATGTCCACAAATGCCCACGTCGTTTTTTAAGCGTTTCACGACTACATTCCTATAGATTTTAGCAAAGCTCGACTACTTAGTTCTACATACAGGATGTACAGATCAAACAGAAACACCCTGGACTTGAGGGATAGAATCCGCTGCTTGTGGACCTCTCGTCGTCTCTCACGAGCACCTCCTGTATCCGTCATCCCCAACTCCTAGGAGATAACGCCATGGATTTTCTGTCACTCCATCAGTCACGGATATTCATATAGTATCACACGCCAACAGAGCTTATAGTTTGGTTGGTAGCCTGGCCTGGTTGTCCTTCCTCCTCTATCTGCTTCACACTAGCTGCACTGAAGCACGCACCCTCCCTTTTTCTCAGCTCAGTTAGCACGTGTGAAACTGATCGCGAGTTTTCGACAGCTGGTAAACCTCCACGCTCTTCGCTTATCTTAGTGATCGACGAATTCAGTGGCCTTCAGCCGCTCTTGATCACCATTGTACAGTCGCTCAGAATTTCCATCGTACAATTACTGAGGCTCGGCGTTTAACAGCCAGCCAGTCACGCTCGCCGTCTAACAGCCGCCAGTTTCGGTCACCGTTTGCGACCATGGCGACGAGAGTGTCGCTCCTGCCGGTCACATCCCGCGCGTTATCTCTCGACCCGCCGAATTCGTCCAAGCGCGAGGTTAAATTCGGCGGCGGATTTCCCCATCCCCATGAGAACGCCGCAGGAATAGACGGGCACCGGCAAGGCCTGGGAACAACTTATACCGAAACCCGAGGCGTTAATAATGAGTGCGGGAAAGGAGAAGCGGGGGGGCCCGCTAGTGGAAGCGGAGCTTTCAGCAGCTTAACCGGGGTTAACGGAGGACTCCTTAACGGGGTCGGAAGCGTCACGGGGAGCGCTCCCGGTGACGGAGGTCGATCGGACGCGTGGTCGACGCTCCTAAGCCTGCCACGTCAGCCGCAGCAGAGCAGTCTCGGCCTTAATTTCTCCCACGGGCTCTCGTTCTCCCCTGCACCGTCTCCCACGGCCATGGGTTTCGCGCACGGTCTCTCCTTCACTCCCGCCGCCCCGCCCACGCCCGTGCCGCGATCGTCGTCCCACGGGCTTTCGTTCTCCGCTGCACCGTCTCCCACGGCCATGGCCCTTTCCTTCACTCCCGCAGCTCATCCCACGCCCGTACCGCGATCGTCCTCCCACCACCATCTCAGTCAAAGCCAGAGCAAGAATCACAGTCAGAATCACAGTCATAACTACAGTTACAGTCACAGTAACGGTCAAAGCCCCAGTCACAGCACCAGTAGCACCCCGCCAGGAAGTGCTGGTGGCGGTAGCGGTGGTGGCGGCGGCCGCGGCGGTAACTGGCCGATGTTCCGCGGGTTGGCGGCGCGGCACGCGTCCGCCGACTCGCTCCTGTCGCTCGCGTCGTCCGAAACCAGCAGCCTCGCGTCCTTCGCGACCGCGTCGGACCGCCTGGTAGAGCAGGAGATTAATCGGCGCGCCGCGTTAGACTTCGTCACGGAGCTAGCCGGCCCGCTGCAGCCATCCAGCTCCCCCGCGCATTCCCTTTCGGGGGAGCGCACCCCACCCGCTGGCGCAACCCTCGGCGCAACCTTCGGCGCAAATCCCGGCGGAGCCTTGGCCTCTGGCGCAGCGCTTCTGAGCGCAAGCCTTAGCGGGGACTTGCCGATTACCGCCAATGAGCTCCCCGTGGCGGTGTTTGCGGTCGACCGTGACCTGGTGTGCGCGCTCTGGAACAGGCGCATGGCGGAACTGACTGGATGGGCGGAAGGGGAAATCATGCGCCTGGGGCGATTCGCGGAAGGTCGGTTTGCGGAACGGCTCTTCCGCCCCGCCAGTGCCTCCGCGCCGTTCCGCCGATGTGAGGACGTTCTCCGCGCCGCGCTCTTTGGCCGCGATATAGTCACGGCGGAGTTGCTTCTACTGAAGCGCGGAGGTAGCTGCGCGCGCGTGCGGTTATTCGCCAGCGCGCGCACCGACGCGCTCGGTGCAGTTTGCGGTGCAATCTGCGCCGTCATTCCCGCGTCTTCGGGAGGCGGGGGAGGGTCGGCGGCCGCGCTGAGCGCAACTTCCGCGCATGGCTTCGACGTGGACGGCGGCGGCGGCGGCGGCGGCGGGAGTGGAGGCGGCTTGCCGCCATTTGCGCCGTCCTTTGCGGCGGGCGAAACCGAGGAATGGCTGCAGCGGAACGCGTCGGCGGGGAGTCTGTACGGCATGCACTCCGTGGACGAGGAATCCGTGGGCGGTGAGTGGTGTTGAGGGGCGGTGAGTGGTGCCTCGTGGTGGTGAGCGGCGGAGAGTGGGAGAGTGGGTGAGTGAAGCGCGGTGAGTGGTGACTAGTGGTGGGGGGGGGCTGTGCGTGGTTGTGAGTCAAGGTCTTTGTCCGTTTCATACCCAAGGCCGCTCAGTCCCAAGCCTTAAGTAGCGCTGTAAGCTTCCCCTCCTGGTCTGTCAGTCTCCCTTCATTCTCTCCCTCCTCTGGCCACATTTTAACCTCCTCCACCAACCGCACCCTTATCCATCCCTCTCCATCCCTCTTCATCCCTCTCCACCCCTCTCTCTCACAACCAGACGACAGCGACGCGGCCAGCAGCTGCAGCGACCTCTACCAGCTCGGCTCCGCCCCGTTCGGCAGCAGCGCCAGTTGCGGCGGGAATTCCGGCGGCTCCAGGCGCCACGTCATGGAGCCCGTCTCCGCCAGCAGGCGCGCGAGCGGCGGCGGCGGGGGTTTGCGCGGAGGTTACGCAGGCGCGGGGAATGCGGGCGCGGGCCAAGACTCAGGCGCGGGGGCGGGAGTAGGGGTAACTGGGCGGCTTTCGTCGTCGTCTTCTGAGCGACAGCTGTCGGGGAGGCTTTCATTGGGGGAGAGCGAAGCTGCGACCGAATCAGGGGCGGCAGGGGGAGCGGGAGGAGCGGGAGGAGTAGGAGGGGCGGGAGGGGCGGATGAAGCGGGAGAAGCAACTTTGCCTTTGACTCCGCCTGCTACGCCGCCATCTGCAGCGCCAGTTGCGCCGGTGTTGCCTTCCCCTGTCAATTTGCCCACTCTCGTTGGTTTGGGCGCGGAAGGCGTGGGCGGGGGCGCGGTGGGAGGCACGGGGGTTCACTTAAAGCCCGTACAAACGAAGCTAGCTATCCGACGCTCGTGCGAGCTGCCGAAATATGGTGCGTTGCCGTTCCAGTGTCCTTGTATCGAAGCTTCTGTGCCATACGCGTTTGCAGGCCTTTCAAATTGCTGCCAGGTCTCTTAACCTTTCTGCCTTACCCCCTCTTCCCCCCCCCCCGTTCGCCTCCAACTCCCCCTCTTTCCCTTGTTGTTGGGTCGATTTTCTTGCAGCTTATTCCTCTCTCACGGGCATGCGTCGCAATATCAGCAGTGATGCCCTCAATAACGCGGACACGTCTCCATCCCACCACCACCACCACTCCCACCGTTCAGCATTCTCCTTCCAACCCACCTCTACCACTTCCAACCACCCCACTTCCACTCTCTCCTTCTCCTCCTCCCTCTCCCGCCCGCTCTCCTCCCGGCCGTACCCCACCTCCTCTTCCTCCTCCCTCTCCTCCGCCTTCTCCCACTCCTCCTCGCACTCCTCCTCCCCAATCGTTTCCTCCTCATCCTCGCTAGTGCGTGCTCTGATAGCGGACGGAGTGACCACAGGGCGCAACGACCTGGCGCACCAGCTGGAGCGCTGTGGGTTTGACGTGGTCAGCGCCACGTCAGTGCAGGAAGCTGCGTGGAAATACGAGCAGGCCGCTCTCCACGGCTCTCTCCCTTCCCCCTTTCCTACTGCTCCTCCTCCTCCTCCTGCTCCCTCTGACGCCGCCTCTGCTGCTGGCGCTGCTGCAGCTACCAATTCCCCCGCCGCCGCCGCCAGCGCCGGTGCCCCTCATGCCGCCGCTGCGGGTGGTGGGAGTGGGGGAGTGCTGTTCTCCCTGGTGGTCCTGGATCTAGAGCAGGCCACCAGTAGGGCAGGGCAGGCGGCCATTCGGGATATCCGGCGTGCCGAGCGGGCGCTGCTGTCTCGCCGCCTCACTCTCGGCACCGCCAAGCCTGCTGGCACTTCCGGCGCTGCTGCTGCTGGTGCTGCTGCTGGTGCTGCTGCTGGTGCTGCTGCTGGTGCTGGGTTTGCTGGGGCTGGGGCTTCTGTTGGTGCTGGAATTGCTGGTGCTGACGGGGACATGAGGTCTCTGGGAGGGCTCAAGGTGCTGAGTGAAGAGGGCGAGGAGGACGAGGAGAGGAGTGAGGAGGGGAGGAGCGAGGTGAGCGAGAGTGCAAAGCAGCGATTGGAGGGGGAGCAGGAGACGGTGCAGCAGCAAGAGCAAGCGACAGTGGAACCCTTCTCCTCCTCCTCCCCTGCTTCTGCAGCTACTGCTGCTGCTGCTGTTGCCGCTGCTACTTCTGCTCCTGCTGCAGCAGCTTCTGCATCATCGCCGGATCGCACGCTCATAGTGGTGGTGGCCGATTTGAGCCGGTACGACCAGGTGGGGTTGGATGCAGCAATGGAGCAGTGTGTGCTGGCGGGGGTGGACGCCTTTATTCCCCGCTCCATGCACCTGCAGCAGCTGCGGACAGCGCTTAGGAGGCTCGGGCTGCACAGCAAATATCTCGTTCTGCCCGCCTCGCTGCCCCGCGCGCATTCTGCTGCGAATGTTTCTGGTGTTGCGGTTGGTGCTGGTGGTGTTGGTGCTGGTGGTGTTGGTGTTGGTGCTTGTGCTGGTATGGGTGTTGGTATGGGTGTGGGTGTGGGTAGTGGGATGACTGGGTTGCATTATGGTGTTGCATCGTCGCACCATGTGTATGATCACCAGGGAGCACATTTGTTACGATGAATCGCTGGCGCATTACTTCTAGGTGATTAGGTTGGTGATTTGCAGAGTCACCTACTGACTTCGATTTTGCCTTTGTAGTGCTGATTACGATTGTTTAACATAACTCGTATCATGTTCTATTCACACCCGAATCCACACGACATGACTCATTCGCTTACAAACGAAAGCCGTTCTTTAGTGAGATATCGACATTCTCGAGGATTCTTCTGAATGACACAGCTCGCGTATGCTGCTTGAAAATTCGTCTGGCAATTCTAGTTTCCACTCCACTCCATAATTGAAGTTATTGGATTCAGTGCTAGGTGTTCCGCCGTTGAGCTCCTCCCCGCCGCGCAATCACAGCTACGGTATGTGATCTGCGGCGCTACGATGCGCATGGAGTGAGCAACAACACAATTCGCATCGCTTCGGTTTCGAGCAGTTGCGCACTGAGGAAGTAGGTGTGACTGAAGCGAGAGAGAGCCTGGCAATCGAATCTACCTCGCAGGCTCGTCTGATGTGTTGATCCGTTCTTCAATTGAATAATAGGACTGGCTCATCCTGTCGCGAATGGATGCAAGATAGTCAACGATAGTCAACGATAGTTGACGAAATAGTCAACGAAAGTAAACGCGGTGGTCCATGGAGTGGGGTGGTGACGATGAGGACCTCTCTCTCTTCGATAATCAACGATAATCAACGAAAGTTGACGACATAGTTTGCGAAAATCAACGAAATAGTAAACGAGGTACGTAGCTGATGGAGTGGGGTGGCGACGATGAGGACCTCTCTCTTTTCGACGCGGACGACGACGATTTCCGCGAAGCTGCCGAAGTGCGGCCGGCCCTCCTTTCTTCAATCGCCCGGCCGGCGGCGCCCTCCGCGCAGTCTGCCGTCGCAACTTCCGCCGCTTCCGCCGTGACTCCCGCCGGAATTCTAGCGGCACCTCCCGTTCTCGCGATTTCCGAACCAGCCCAGCCATCGCAAGCGGAATCTATTCCCGGGGCTGCTCCGAAGCTGATTGGGGAGGGTCGGATTGGGAAGTGGGAGATCGGCGGAGCTAGCGGAACAGGCGGAGCAGGCGGGGAAGAAGCGGAGGAGGGTGGGGGTAGGGAGGGAGAAAGCGGTGCAGTGGAAGAGAGTGGGTTTGGAAGGGATGCAGAGGAGGACGAATCGCACAGAGAGGGAGGCGAAACGGAGAAGGCTGGTGAAAGGGAGGAGAGCTTGTTGGATGGAGAAAAGGGAGAAGTGGCGACCAGGTTGGGTGAAGAAGAGGAGGCGAGTGGGTTGTCGCATGTGGGATCTGCTAACGAAGACTCTCCTAACGGGCTTGCTGCTGATAGCGAGGGGTTTACTAATGAGGATGAGTCGGAACAGGAAACGGGCGGGCGGGAAGGTGAGCTGGAGAGTGGGACGAATGCCGCAGGGGGAGCAGGGGGAGCAGAAGGGACTGGGGGGCAAGGTCAAGGGGACCGGCGGACAGAGGGCGGGAGAAAGAAGAAGAAGAAGGGGAAAGGGAAGGGGAGAGGGCAGAACGCCGGTCCAATTGCTGCACCAGCAGCAGCAGCAGCGCAGAATACAGACGCAAGGGTAGATCTGGCACGACCCAATGACAACCCAAGGGGCACTTCCGGTGCAGTGGGAATCATCCCCACAGCGAGGGCTCCCCCCTCAGGGGGGATTTCCGCAGCAACCCCAGATGCAGGTTCGCTGAAGGAAGAATGGCAGCAGCAGGTGGATGAGTTGAAGACTGCTTTGGCCCGGGAGAAAGATGCTAGAGTGGCTGCAGAGGAGCAGGCGAAACGGGCAGAAAGAAAGGCTTCTTGCGCGGCCGAGGAAGCTGCCCGGGCGGCGGACGGGCAGCGGCGGGCAGAGGCTGAACGGGCAGAGATGGAAAGAACGAAGGCTGAGATGCTGAAGAAGCTGCGGCATATAGTAGAGGAGGCGGTGAAGAGAAAGAAGGAGGCGGAAGAGGAGAAAACCGTTGCCGAAGCTGCCGCCGCAGCTGCGGTGAAGGATCGGAACGAGGCTCGGAAGGAGCGGGATGAGGCTCGGGGAGAGAGGGACGGGGCCGTGCAGGAGAAAGAGCGGGCGGTGCAGGAGAGAGAGGCGGCTGTCGGTAAACTGGAGCGGCTTATAAAGGAGCGAGATGGAGCGGTTAGGGAGCGGGAGAGTGCGGTGAAAGAGATTACGAAACGGTTGAGTGGTGAGAGGGACGCAGCGGTGAAGGAGAGAGAGGTGGCAGTGTTACAGAGGGGGGCGGCTGTGAGGCATGTGGAGGCGGTGGAAGGGAGTGTGCGGCGTGCTGTGGGGAGATTGGGAAGGGAAGCGGAGCGGGTTGAGAAGTTGTTTGAAGGGATGTTTGGTGTGAAGATGGGTGGCGGGAGGATGGGTGATGGGAGGAAGAATGATGGAGAAGTGGAGGGAAGCAGTGGTGGTAATGGTGGTGGTAATGGAGTGAGTGGTACTGGTACTGGTACTGGTACTGGTACTGGTACTGGTAGGGGGGGGAGTGCCACTGACGAGGCTAGCCCTGCTAAACAAGCAACAGCAGCAGCGGGAGCGGCAGGGGCAGCAGGGGGAGCAGCATCAGCAAAAGCAGCAGCAGAAGATGAAGAAGACGTGGTGGCAAGGTTTGAAGCAGGAGTGCAGAGGGTTTCAGCGGTTATCGAGCTGGCAGCTAAGTCCATGCGACGGCAAAGAGAGGAGATGGAGGAGCGAGCAGTGGCAATGGCTGTGGAGGTTTCTCAGTTAGAATCTGATGTTGCTGATGCGAAGAGGGAGGTTGAGAGAGTGAGAAAGGAAGGGGAGGAGGAGGTGGAGCGAGTGAGAAAGGAGTGGGAGAGGAGGGTTGAGGAGGGGAAGGTGGAGGGGGGGAGATGGAGGGCGGCTGCTGAGGAGGCGGAGAGGAGAGTGAGGGAGGTTGAGGAGGAGAGGAGGAGGGAGAGGGGGAGGGTGAAGGATTTGGAAAGGGTGCGAGGGGAGTTAGAGCGGTTGAGAGAGAAGGTTGGGAGGAGCGGAAAGAATGATGGTTCAGTTGGAGAGGGGGTAGAAGGTGGGGAACGGAATGAAGGGAAGGAGGACACGGAAGGGAAGGAAGGGATGGAGGAGGAGGGGAGGGAGGGAAGCGTGGAGGAGATCAAATGGGTGGAGAGACGGTTGGAGGAGGCTGAAAGGGCGGTGAGCGATTGGAGGAGCAAGGAGAGAGAGGCACAGGGCCGCGCCATTAGTGCCGAAACGAAGCTCGCAACCAATGTGAGTGCTTGTGTGAAATCTGTGTTTGAATGAAAGCATTTTTTTGTTTGTACCGATCCTGACCTCTTTGTATCCCCTTGTTTGGGTTTCTCCAACCTTTGTTTCTATGTCTGTTCTTTCTGTTTGCGGGTGTGGCGGTGCAGGAGAGGGAGATAGAGCTGCTGCAGCAGCATGTGGAGGAGGAGAGGAGGGAGAGGAAGGAGGAGATGGAAAAGAGCAGGTGAGGGAGAAAAGAAGGAATGGGTTAGGGTTTTAGGAGGTACTTGGAGGTGAAGAGGAGTGGAAGGAGGGGATGAGTAAGGTCAGGTGAAGACACACAAAGTGGGTCGAGGTCCAGAGGAGATGGAAGGGGTGAATATAGAGGGTATTGCATCAAAAATACCCCACTCTCGTAAGAAACCAAATGGAAGAAATAGTGAATGCAAAATGAACTGCACCAAGGTTCATGTGGTTCGAACGCTTTCTGGTGTTTGGAACACGCCCTGAACCCCGCACCCAACCCCCATATGCCCCTCTATCCCCACCCCCCCCCCCCGGGATCCCCCCAAAATTGAGTTGCAGCAGGTGGAAGGGGCATTGCGCAAGGAGAGGGATGCGGGGAGGCGATTAAAAGAGACGTTGGAGGGGCGATTGCACCTTAGTCCCCTTCCCACCCACCCTTCCACCCGTCCACCCATCCCTCTCCCTCCCCCTCGCCCCCTGTGTTCCCCCAGAATTGAGTTGCAGCAGGTGGAAGGGGCATTGCGCAAGGAGAGGGATGTGGGGAGGCGATTAAAGGAGACATTGGAGGGATTGCAGAGGGAGGGGTTGCGGGCCGCAGAACAGGTTAGTGAGATTGGGGTTTAAGGACGATAGGAGAGGGAGAGGGGAAGGAGAGGGATGCAGGGAGGCTATTGAAAGAGACGTTGGAGGGATTGCAGAGGGAGGGGTTGCGGGCCGCAGAACAGGTGACCGTGGGGGAGGGCTTTAAGGGAGAAGGATGCTGGCTGGCGACTGAGAGAGGGAGGGGGTGCGTGCAGCAGAGCAGGTGAGCGTGGGTGGGGGAAACCCATAGGGGACTTAGAAGTTGATGATGAAGGCCTAGCGACCTTGCCTACTGCTGCCCTTCTTCATGAGCACAGATCCGTGGGTGGGGGGAGCCCATAGGGGACTTAGAAGTCGATCAGCCTTATGATGACTCAATATGCCTCTTCAAGAGTGAGTGTGGGGGGAGCGTAGTTTTGAGTCAACTCAAATCGAGAGTGAGTGTGGGGGGAGCGATAGGGGACTTTTGAAGAATCAATAAGCCTCTTCGAGAGTGAGGGCGAAGAGGTTCATTTGAGAGTGAGGGCGAAGAGGTTCATTTGAGAGTGAGTGGTTCTCACAGTCGGCTCATTTGACGAGCGTCTCTCCATTCCACGCACCCCACCCCCATCCCCTCACCCACTTTCAGACCATAGCACTTCAGGCAATTCTATCAGAATGTGAGGTGCAGGCAGGCGGCAATTCTTTCAGAGTGTGAGGTGCAGGCGGGCAGATTGCGAGAGGAGAGGGACGAGAAAGGAGGAGGGAGGAGCAGACCATAAACGCTTCACCATCCCCCCCACGCACTCTCCCCCACGTCCACCCACACTCACATGGCGGCACTTCGAGTTTTGAGTCGACTCAAAACACGTCCACCCACACTCGGATGGCGGCACTCCAGGCGGTTAAGGAGGAGGCCGCACCCACCCACCACCCTCCTCCCCGCATGCACGCACCCACCCACCACCCTCCTCCCCGCATGCACCCACCCACTCCTTGTCTCGGATCGCGGCACTCCAGGCCAGCTTATCGGAGTGTGAGGCGGAGGCGGGCCGATGGTGGGAGGCAGCCAAGGAGGTGGGAGGAGCAGAGCAGACTGCATATGCTTCCGCAGCGCCCCAGTCATCATGAACCCCCACTCCCCCCCACACCCACTCACAGATTGCAGCTCTCCAAGCAAGTCTAGCTGAGTGTGAGGCGGAGGCAGGCCGATGGCGCGAGGCGGCCAAGGAGGAGGCGGCAGCGGGGAGTGCAGTGGCTGAAGAGATGGAGGAGATGCGCGGGCAGGTGAGGGATGAGGGGTAGGGGTGAAGTTGTTTTGCAGGAGGGGGGGGTTGGTGGGAGGGGCAATACACAGGGCACAGGGCAGCCAAGGAGGAGGCAGCAGCTGGGAGTGCAGTGGCTGAAGAGATGGAGGAGATGCGCAGGCAGGTGAGGGAAGAAGGGATGCATGATTGCATTAGAGGGCTGGGCGTACACACTGTCACACACACACACACACACACACACACACGTGCTTACACACACACACACACCCACACACACACACACACACACACATGCCATGAGGCACAAGCCATTTGCACTCAACCACTTTCAACTCCTTCCAAATCCCCCCCCCCAGCTTCTTACGATGGAGGGTGAAGCAGAGAAATGGCTAAGGGCAGCCAAAGAGGTACAAGCCATTCACACTCAACCGCATTCAACTCCTTCCAAATCCCCTCCCCCAGCTTGTTACATTGAAGGGTGAAGCAGAGAAGTGGCAGAGGGCAGACGAGGAGGCACAGGCCATTCACACTCATCCGCATTCAACTCCTCCGAAATTCCTTAGATCCCCTCCTTTAGCTTCTTACCCTGGAAGGCGAGGCCGAGAAGTGGCAGAGGGCAGCAGAGGAGGCACAAGCCATTCACACTCAACCGCATTCAACTCCTCCGAAATTCCATAAATCCCCTCCTACAGCTTCTTACCCTGGAAGGCGAGGCCGAGAAGTGGCAGAGGGCAGCAGAGGAGGCACAAGCCATGCTGACGTCACGCGACGAGCTGGCAGCAGCAGCAGTTGCCGCCCGGGAAGCCGCAGAGCGGTCGCTCCGGGCGGCAGACAGGCGGGTGGCGGAGTTGCGTGAACGAGTGGAGGAATTGCAGCAGCAGCTAGAAGACGAAACAACCCACCGTAGTGGAGCTAGGGGGGCTGAGAATGCAGGTCGGGGATGGGGGTTGAGTGGAGTGTGGGGACCAGGAGAGGGAAGGGGCGGGAGTGTGGTGGGGACAGGGCAAGGGGGAGGGGTTGCTAGCCGGCTGTGTTGCTGTTGGCCTTGGTTGTCAGTGGGAAGAGGGAGAGGAAGAGGAGTGAGTGGGGAGTCAGGAGGAAGGGATGCAGATGATGATGAAGGTAGTGCTTTGGAACAGCTGATGGTGCCACTTGTTTGAATTAGTTTGAAAGGTGCTGCTTAGTACAAGAAATGTACATTATGCAATTGTTTGAATCTGCATGGTAATCAGAAAGAGAAGGAAATTGAGGCTAGCTAGTACTTGTAGCTACCCAGAAGCACCTAGATCTCTCATCTGCTTTCACTACCAGTACGGTATTAATCTCTTAGGCAAGACATTACATTATGTACAAAAGTTACATGTGATTAGAAGCCAAGGCGTGCCCAGCTGAGCAGAGAACCAATGAACAGACCCACCACCAGAAAAACAACCATCACCATACCAGCCGACTCGGCTCGGTCCCGAGGCACCTGGTTCGGAGCAGCCATCATAAGCAGGCTTGTCAACAACCCATTAGAAAACCCAAACGCCCCCGTGACAGCAGCAATGATGACCTCGTGCCGAGCCCATAGGGGGCCCCACCACACACAGAGTGGGTAAAGAATGTAAAACCCCCCTCTCGCCAGTACTAGTGCCACTAACACCTTCAAATCAGTCACCAGGAAAACTACCGGTGCCATTTTTCCGAAGAAATCAAACACGTTGTACATGCCTATAAGGAGGATGGGGTACCATGAGCCGAGCGTGTCAGACTGAAGCTCCGCTATAAATCCCGGAAAGATAGAAAGCGTAACTATATACACTACCGAGAGCGACACTGCGTACGGCCAAATCTGCTGCATGACCTCCCACTGCTGGCGGTATATCGAGGGAGCGGAGTCGACTATAGAGGGTACGTGTACGTGGAGAGAAAAGGCCCTGCCTTCAGCCAACATGGCTTCTTCAGAGCGAAAGGTGTGCTCCCACCAGGACACCACCCGATCCCACACCCGCCTCCTTGGCTTGCCCGGACCATGAGAGTACCTGCCCTTGCTGATCGCCTGACTGTGACTATGTGCATGTGCAAGCGCATACTCTACCTTATCGCCTTGACAGACTCCGTTTTCTGAACCCTTTTCACCTTCCCTTTCCCCGTCTATCTCGGCTATCTCGCTGCTGCTGGCGCTACACCCGTCCATCAGCGGAGCGCCATCAGCCACCGACTCTGCTTCTGCTCCTGCTTTTCTTACTGTCACTGCTGCTCCTGCTCCTGCTCCTTCTTCTTCTCCTTCTCCTTCTATGCCTGTAAGGTCCCGAGCTCGCTCCTGCTCCCACCACTCCGACTCGTCTTCAATCTGCAGCAGCTGCCGAATCACCTGCTCCTCCTCTATCGTCGCCTCTCGCTTCACCAGCGGCTCTAGAGACTCGTCCTCACCCGCACCCGCCAACCCCCCCTCCGCAGCAACCTCCCCTTCCCCCTCCCTTTCCCGTTCCTCCGCCTGACTGTCCACCCCCACACTCTCCCCCATGCGCCCTTCCCCGGCATGTCCTTCCCCCGCCACTTCCCCCCCTCTTCTCCCACTCCCACCATGGCAGATTGCCTTTCCCGAGCCAGGCCCGGCTCGCCGAGCCTCCTTCCGAGCCTTGCCCCGAGCCCGGCGCTCAGCCTCGGCGAGCGCGGCGACCTGGGATTGGAGGAAGACGATAACGGGAAGCGAGTGGAGGCGGAGGAAGGCGAGGAGGCAGACGAGCAGGATGAGCGCGGAGAGCAGGAAGTAGAGGTGCGCGGACAGGCGCAGGCCCGTTGGCGTGTTGGGGAGAACCGCTTTCGTCAAGATGCGCACTACGGACACCACGATGCCTGCATGCGACAACGGGATGTGGGGCGAACACGAACGGAAACTGAGGGACCATGCGAGTGTCAAGGAGATCCGGGAGGCAGTGGGGCCCCGGAGTATAGGCACAGGTTAAAGCCAGAAAGCGCCAGGAAGCGAACACGGATCAAGGCGGGATGCAGCTGATGGGATTGACTAGAGGGTTAACTAGATGCAGCTGTACTGACTGGATTGTGAGTGGACAGGTCGGCAGGCAGGCATGACAGGAGCAGGCAGCGGGTCAGCCGAAGCCAACCCACCACTCGCAACCTGCGCCTGACGGCACGAACGAACTGCCCAGTCAGTCCATGTGGCGCCAAAGTCAAACCCGCATGGCGAAGTGGCGGAACGCCGAGCCAAACGAGTAATCAGTATGATGGCGCGGCGGAGAATACCGCATTCGCTTCGTCGCATGCTGTGCTCAGATTATCCCGCACTAGAGAATTCACGAAACACTAGAAGTCTCCCCTGAAGTGCCAGTAGCGTCTCCTAAACCGCAGGTCGCAACACAACATACCTGAAACACTAGTCCCGGCAGCGAGGGCTTGCGTGTATCGCTCGTGCAGTTCGCCCGCCATGCCAAACAGACTCCCCTGCACCACCGCATCTATCGCTCCTGACGCCGCCACCGCCGCCACTGTCAGCGCCAGCGCCAACGGCGGCGAAGCGGCGGGAGTCGCGGCCACGGCGGGACTATCTGCGTCTTGGACGGCGTTGGAAGGGATGGCGCCGGGAGCGGAGAGGGCGTCGAGCGCAGGGACGAGGAGGACGAGGAGAGTGAATGCGATGAAGCCATTGACAATGCGCGTGCGAGAGGGGACATGCTGGCCGTACCTGGAATAAAATAAGCAGAACAAAACAAAGACAAAGTGAAAAAAGAAGGTAATCTCAAAACAATGGCTTTGGTGAACAGAAAGCATGGGGAAAGGCAGACTGGAAGAAGCTGAATTCGTTGCCGCTTACTCACAACAGAACGAGAATCAGAGTACCGAGGTTGGCGAACATGTAAGCGACGCAAAACAGCGTCGCGACGTGGGCTGTCGGATAGAGAAGGTAGAAGTAATCAACGGCTGTGATGAAGGCATTCCACGGGAGGAGAAAGCCGACGCCCAGCAGCAGGAAGATGAAATAAGCGAGATAAAACCGGTCAGGCGGAGCCACGTTAGAGACCGGGATATGGTCCGCCATGAGACGCTCCGTCAGCATATTCGGGAGTATTTGATGAAACTGGATCAATCCGCGCGTCCAGATAGCATGATAGCAGTCGGAGCCCTGGTAGCCAGCACAGGCTCAAACTAAACTCAATCTGGAAAGAGGTATGTGAATTGACTAAATCAGCGCACCTGGCGGCGGTTGATCGAATTGGAGGAAAGGAGGTGGAGATATCCGAGCGAAACACATCAGGGAGGTAAGTGTGTTCATGTACAAATCTTGATGACTTTGTCACATGTCCTTCTCGCGAGAACTGCTCTGCTGATGACAGAAATGCCGCTGTGAAGCAGGTAATGAAATGAATCACGGACGCCACTTCTTTGAGGAAGCAGGCAGCACCACATCATTCTGCCATGGAGTCCATTCACTGAACACAGCTCCGAACCGAAGTTCCGAACATAACACCACTTCAGGGAAGACCAAAGCTGATCCAAACACCTCCAACATCGGTTCGCTTTGGGGGAACTTGCTGTGAACGCCATCTTCGTCACTCAGGAATGATCAAACGGTTGAGCAGAGATGCATTGTCATTTGGTCGATTGAACGGTACAGATGAGAATTTCAGGCTAACAATGAAGCCAATCAGCAGCCATTCCGTGTGTCCCTTGCTCTATCGGCCCTCGTCACCATCGCCTCTTTTCTAATCGACGGCACAGATGCTTTGACACGTGTAAAATGGCTTCAGCCAGTAACAATCGTTATGCGTATCTAACATCCCCATACAGTGATAACATGCACGGTGAGGTGGCACGCACATGTGACACTAAGCACCTAAAGAGATTGACGCGTTTGGTGGCTACAGAAGTCTCAATGACGTGTCAGATACTGATTAGTCAATAGGGTGAAGCGATGGTGGTAAAGTGGCAGTCGGAGCCTAGAATTTTGGTGAACTACACATTGCTAATGCGGAGGGAGGTGTGGTGGAGAGAGGTTCGGTTGGTCATGTCACGGATGCCACAAGTTTCACTCCTTATTAGTTAATTCTTCCTAGTTTTAGCATCCGTCATGGGGGGCTAACTATGGATGTTAGGTAAATATGCTAATGCATGAGATACGGATCAACATGTGAAGACACGGATCTTCAAACTACAACTCTACAAGCCAAAAAAATACAACTTCACACAACAAACAAACACACTCAGGCAACACCTTATGTCACACTAATTCTCCAGTAGATGGTGCGGCGACTCCTAGGTCCTCTTCGTAAACCTGCAGCCATGGCCACACTTGGCCTCGAAATCACCACTACACTCCAAGCTAATGCACTCTGAAGCCTGCACACAAAACACACTATGGGGTGAATGGGACCCGACAATCGAAGTATACACACACTCGAGGCCCTCGCACACCGCACACCTAATCTAAGAGGGGTCCTCCTCGCAACAATCCAATCAGTCCAATCTAAGACGGGGTTCAGCCGAACCCCAAGTCAGTAACGCAGCGCACGGCACTTCCTGCGATCGCCCCAGTAATACGGCTCCAGTCGCCAGTCCGAGTGGTAACCACCATACTGCTTGATGAGACTGCGACAACAAGAATTGCAGCACAACCCGCGAAGTTGTTGCGCGGCGTGCAGATGAGACACGTCATCAACGGTGGTGGGGAATTGGCTCCCGACGGGGAGAAGAATTGCGGCCGCGAGGCCATATTTACATGTTTCGACACGTCGTGGCTCCTGGTTGGAGCATAAGCTACGGTAATAAGAGCCCCGATAAAACTTTACAAGCCGGCGACGCAATACAGCGCGTCGGTTGTGGGCTTTTGCTCGGAAGCGGGCAGCCGCCAGACATCCATGCACTGAGAGACCCTTTCGGCATAGTCCTTCGCGTACTGTGCACGCAACCGTTGGCTCTCAGCCCGTCGCCGAATCCGCTGCTTAGAGTACTCGACGAAGTAGCTCTGGTTCTCCTTCTCCAAAGCTTTCCACACTGCCATTACGTAAAAGGATTAAGAGTAAAGCGGAGAAACGAGTCAGTCGAGAGAGAAGCAAGACGCGGATAGAGACAGATGGGCTTCTAGAAACTAGAGGGAGCGGAGAGAATAATCAGACGAAAAAGCAGAAGCGGGACGGAGATAAAGGAAAACGTTATCAGAGTGAAAGTCAGTTCGGCGAAACTGGGAATCAAGGAGGGTGCGAAAGGAACAGGAAGCACGAGAGCGTACCAGTAGCAGTGATAGCAGGCTTGACTCCCGCGTGCTTCGCTAGAGCGACGACACACTCCTCGCGGCTCAAATTGAGAAGCAGGCATCGCTCAATCAGGTGCTGCACCATCTGCACGTAGCTCCTAGTCGACTCTCGGGAATCGGCGGAAGCTGGGGATCCTGCAGTGCCTGTAGAACGAGCTGGAGGACCCATGGTGCGCTTGTTCAAGCTACTGAGTGCGAAGGCGTCTATGGTGTGAAAACGACGCAGTCTCAGGAGCTATTGGAGTGCGAGAGAATAACCAGCTAAGCATTGGAAACGAGAATACTTAACGGTTTTGTGTTCGAGCCTTGAACCTCTAATTTGTGTCTCGCAGGGCAGGTCGTGTGGGTTTCGTATGGCGGCGGCTCTTCCCTTATCGGAGGTTGCGTTGTATGTTGCGCCAAATCTGGCAGCCCAATCGCCTGATGCTGCTGCTGCTGCTGTGGCTGGGTGGATGGGGTGAGTGGGAGGGAAGTGAGGTGAGTGGGTCTGTGGGAGAGCTGGGGGTGGATTGGGTGTGTATTCCCTTGATCGGAGGAAGGGGAAGGGGGGGACGTGGCATGGTGGGGGGGTGGGGTCAAGGCTTTCCCCCTACACGTCAACCTCCTCGGGGTTTCCGCCGTCGATTCCCCAATCCGTTGTGTTGGCTTGACAGGCTCTCTGGCAGTCTTGTAATCGCACAGCGTGGCGGATTCTAGGGGGGGGGCGTTCGACGCGCTCTGAATCTGATTGGACTGCGGTGACACGCAGGTTACTGGCCTGAGGCACCACCCCAACCACAAATCTCCCGCCAATCTTCGCGGGCTCTTATTGGCTTAAAGAAAATGGCATCACTGGCTTGTGCGAAGAGAAGAAGACACCTGCCGCCACGGTGGCAACCAGCGTGGAACAATGATCGAATTGCGTAAGGTGCAGTCTGTTGAAGGGAGGCGGTTGTTCATGGACGAATTCAAGGTAATACACGTCAGGATACATTACGGCACACATGTGCCGTTGATTTCTTTGCGAGGGAAACTCGCTGGAGGAAATCGTTGGTGGAAGATATGGATGGTGCTGAAGCGGGAACAACGAGGTGTTGAAGAGATGGACGTGAGGCAAGCGATTTGGCGGAACCAGGGATTTCAAACGACCTATCTAGTTCAAACACGTCGTCAACCTACTTGATCTCCCCAACCACAAGTGTATCTAGGTGGACCGAAATCTGCACATCTGGTTTCTCCACATCTTCTTTCTGTTCTTCCCCCACTGGGTCTGGATAAAGACTTCAAATATTCCATGTGACGTGGAAGATAAATGATTGCTTGCAGCCTCCTAGAAAACAGAGTAGGGTCATTGAACGACACTGTACATTCTGCTATAGGCTGAAAGCAAATCTGCATTGCAAAACGATGGGTCCTGGTTGGTGTATACGGCTTATAAACTCTATCCAGACAAGTGCTGGGACGGAAGACGTAAACCCCATCTGCCCAACCTGAAACAAACCTCGCCTGAAACAAACATCTGCTGAGACCACTGATGCGTTTGGCAGCGGTGGATCCAGTGAACAGTGCAGAATCATATCGAGGAATAAAATTGTGACCTCCAAGCACTACGTAGGGTTGACGTCATCAATGATTAAAACGTGCGAGAATGCCTGTCTCGCACGAGGAACACGTATCTGTGTGTTACGGGTGCAATGAATCGAAGAAGCGAGAATTGCACTAAGGTGTCAAAACGAGTACAAAATGTGAGCGAAGGCATGAGCGAACATTTATACGTGAAACATGCAAACGGTAACGCAGTGCGTGCGAGCTAGCTAGTGCTATGCTGGAAGCGAGGCTCGAGCTAGTCCCAAAGCGTAGGCCGACACGGCCAGGCCAGCAGTGCGAGGTTTGGTGAAACAGTGCGCGCGAAGTCGGCGAAGCCCCGTTAGCAGTAACGGGCGAACAACGGCTGCTGCTGTACGCGATGTTACAGGGCGCGCTAAGGAATGTCGAGAAAAATCCTTACACTACCCCCCCCCCCCCCCCCCCCCTCAAGAAGCCCCCTCCGCTACGCGAGTGGGTGTATATCGCGGAAACCCTGGCTCCTCGGGTACACTTGCAGGGCAGGGTGGTTTTCGATGTTGGTCAGGGGCACCCACCTATCCTCAGTTGGCGTGCGATCCTTCCAGCGAACGAGGAATTCAATCCTCCTGATTCCCGTGGGGTGTCGAATCCGATGGCTCATGATTTTTTCGGGCTCGATGGCTGGCTCCGATGCACGGCGAGATATGGATGGCGGGCGGTGACGAGGCAGTTGGCTTGTGGTTGGGATGTATGGGCGAAGCAGGCTGACGTGGAACGAAGGGCTGATGTACCAGTCCGTTGGCAACAGTAGGTGAGTTGTCACTGGGGTAATCGTGTGGCTGATTTGGAATGGTCCACAGTAGCGGGGTCGTAATTTCGGTACGACGGGCTGTCTTAAGCTCTGTGTGTCGAGCAGTACGTAATCTCCTTTTTGATACGCGACTGGGCGGCGTTGGCGGTCAGCGTTGCGCTTAGCGATGACGTTGGTTTTTTTAATTGCTTACGCGGCTCTAGAGCGGGCAGCTTGTAGAATTTCGGCGAATTGCTGTGCACGTGGTGTTGGGTTGTCCGGACTCGGCGTCATGGGCACTGTAGGGTTTTGCCCGTGGTTCAGATAGAAGGGGGACTGCTGCGTCATCACTGACGTGGCGTTGTTGTACGCGAACTCGATCAGCGGCAGCTGGTGCTCCCAAGTGGTCGGGTCGTCACACGTGGCACGAATCAACTGCTCCATCGTCTGATTC